TGATCTGGGCTCACTGCAACCTCCGCCTCCCGAGTTCAAGTGATTCTCCTGCCTCAGCCTCCCCAGTAGCTGGGATTACAGGCTTGTGCCACCACGCCCGGCAGAAAACAGCCTCTTCACAGCCACCTAAAATCACAAAAACCGCCGAGTGCTGAAGAGGCTGTGACTCGGAATTCTGCATGAATGTGGCCTAGTCCACACGCTAACGAGATGAGGCAGTGATCACACGTGCGTGAAAATCACAAACCACAAACGAGGGGAAAACCCACAGTTCAAATAAATACACCCACTGGTAAGTTTTGGCTCTGAAGTCTTTCACCCGGTCAATGAGAAAAGACCACTTCAATTTCGCCTACCTCGGTTCTCCTTTGGCAAAGTTTATGGCCTTCATGTACTGAGTCACGCAATTTTCAAATTCCTCCTAAGGCAACATAAAGAAGCACAATTAGACTGAAACACTGAACCCTGCTCATTGCCCTGTCTGCAGATGCCACGGCTTCTTCATGGTTGGCCTGGTACCCCCTGTGTATCCACAGGTGACGGTGTGGCAGACAGCCTGAGTGTCGTGGCGATGTCGTGGACCTGCACCCGGGTTCCCGTCCCACAGACACAGCGAGGCATCAGAAACCGCAGTTGCCTATGCTCCAGCACACCCACCCCACCCCAGCTCCCCTCTGCCCACTCGGGGCAGCTGCAGGTGCAGATGCCACAGAGACCACGCTGCGACGAGGCAAAGGTCCAGGGGTCCTGTATGTCACATACCACTACTTGAGCAAAAAGCATGAACGGGAAATGGTGCAAGTTTCGTGTCACTCTGGAAATTAATTCCTTCACTCTACTACCCTAAGAACGATTTAAAGCCTGGTCTAGGCTGGCACTGTTCTGGAGGTGGGGTGAAAATTGAACTGTTGGGGAGAAGGGGCACAGGACACCTCTCACCAGGTTTTCTGCCGACTTTGGGGCACACATCTGGGCCCTGCACAGGTGCGCTCGGCCCAGAAACTGGGTGATGGGCGCCTTCACCTTGAAGTACATTTGGATGCAGTCCTCGCTCACCTCTGGCTGCCCCATCTGCAAGAGAACACCACCATGAAAGACCACAGACCTGGAGGCGGTGGCCTCCCTGCCCAGAAACACATGGGGCCGCTTTCAGAACAGGCCCCAAGCACCGGTGCAGCCTGTTTGCAGCCCCCACCCTCCATCCTGGCCCCTTGACTGCCCGGCCAGGAGCTGCCTCTCCCCAGCCCCACTCTGCATCCACTAGACGCCCAGAGGCCCCCCTCTCCCTGTCAAAGCTGCCCTGACCGAGGATCCCGGGAACTAGTTACCTTGAGGGCCTGCTCTGCACACAGAACAAACAGGTCTGGGCTGAAGCTCTCTGAGGGGTCAAACTCCGATTTCCCTAGGTTGGCCGATTTGATCAACTCGTAGGCCTTCTTCAAGGACGCAGCATCTGTCCCAAACAGGCGGTTGAGGAAGGTTTGGTCACTGGGCTGGGAGAAGTGAGCCGGAGAACACCATCCCGAAGGCCCCAGGCAGCCTCAGGCCCCGGCCACAGCAGCAGTCGCCGCCTGGCAGCAGCGGTGTGGGCACCTTCCTGTATGTTTGCCCTGGTCAGACAATCGGGAGGTGGGAGGCTCCGGCTGTGGCCCTCGAGGGGTCACCCATCTGGCGGGCTGGGATGAGAGGGTCCGCGGCCTCCCCGGGGC